GCTCAGAATATCAGCCTTCTGGTTATTTTTGCCCGCAGTGTACGTAATGCAGAAGTTGAAGTCGGAGAGTAGCTCCATCCATCGAACCTGCTTCGCGGTGAGAACCTTGGTAGACATGAAATATTCCAGCGAATGGTGGTCAGTGTATACGTCGACTCGGTGGCGTACCGAAGCCAACTCGGGCCTCCATTTTCCGAAGGCCTTTACTATTGCGAATAGTTCCTTGTCGTGGATCTCCCAATTGATCTCATGTCCGGATAGGACATGACTGTAAAAGCTTACGGGGTACCATCGCTTGTCAGGGTGTTCTTGAGACAGGACACCAGCTACCACTCCATCAGAGGAGTCGGTCTCCAGCTTCGTAGGCAATTCAGGGTTGAAGTGGTGAAGTGCCTGTACCGCTAAAAGTTGTCGTCGCAATTCCTCGAACGCATCCTCACATTCGTCTGTCCACCGGAACGGCTCAGAGGGACTAGTGATGGTGGTGAGGGGCTTTGCTATTTTGCCAAAATTACGAATGAATTGTCTATAGAAGCCACAGAATCCCAGGTAGGACTTAACACCCGTAACAGTGGTCGGTCGGATCCAGTTACGAAGGGGTTCGATTTTGTCAGGGTCCGCTTCAACACCGGAGGTAGTGAGAACATAACCCAAGTATTTTGTCCTGGTGACGTTGAACTCGCATTTGTTCAAATCAGCTTGGAGTCCAGCTTCTCGGAGACGCTGTAGGACCTTATGCACATGGTCTGTGTGTTCCGTAGGGTCCTCTGAATAGATTAGGATGTCGTCTAAGTATGCGGTACAGAAGTCGTCTAAGTATTGCATCAGGACGTCATTCATATACCGCTGATAGGTTGCGGGACCGTTCGTTAGTCCAAATGGCAGCACTTTGCACTTATAGGATCCATAGCGAGTCCGAAAGGTCGTGTACTCTTCCGAGTCGGGGTGCATCCGTATACGATGGAAGGCTTGTCTGATATCTAGCTTCGTGAAGATTTTTGCTTTCGACACCCGTCCTAGTAGTTCATCGATACGCGGGATGGGGTAGGGATCGTTCCGGGTGAGACCATTTAACTTCCGGTAATCGATGCAAAATCTTAATTTGCCATCCGCTTTCTTTACGAATAGGATAGGGGACGCGAAGGGGCTGTTGCTGTTGACGATGAATCCCTTTTCCAGGTTTTCCAGCAGGTATTGCTTGGTAGCCTTAAGCTCTTCGGTGCCCTGTCGATATAACGGGGAGAAAGCGTTTGGTAAAGGGGCTTCGAGCTGTATCTTGTGGTCGTATATGCGGTGGGGGAGGATTCGATCCGATTCCAACTTCGAAAAGACATCGGTGTACCTCCGGTGCATATGCGGAAGCTTCTGCTGGATGAGGCGGAGCGTTTCTTCGTCCTCTACCAACTCCTTTTCATGAATGATCTGATCGATTTCGTAGATGCTAGTCTGAAAAAACTCAGAGTCGTTTCGCATCATCTCGTGGTGGAAAGCATTTGCACTGATTTCGCATATATGCATGGGCGTAAACCTATGTACTAGGGTTTTCTGCAGTGGAGGTTTCCATTTGGGTGGGGGAGAAACCTCCTGGTTTCGTAGTGGGTTCGATGGCGTATCGGTGATCTCTTCGTAGTCAGAAGTTATCACTTTCATTTCCATCGACCGTCCGCCTGCGCGGCGTCTGTCTTCGCGGTGGATTGCGAAATCCCGGCGATTCGCATCCGACTGATATGCAGGATGTTTAATGGACGTTTCGCGTGAGTGGTAGGGCAAGGTGATCTCCTTGCTCCAGCTAGGAGTCGGCGGGTACTCCTTTGGCCATACTAACCGGCTCTTTGCAGAGTCGAGTGTCACGACGGAACAAGAAGGCTGGCCAACTACAGGACAGGAAGGAGGGAGGTCGCATGAGACCGGCCCTGGTACCTGGAGGGGCAGCGGGGAATAGTAGTTCCGAAAGTATCACGTGACGGACTCGCAGGATGATGAGAAGAGTCCTAAGAGTCCAGGACTCCGAGGACTCGAGTGAGTTCCCAGGAGTCCACTAGGCACGTGATGGACTCGCAGGATGATGAGAAGAGTCCTAAGAGTCCAGGACTCCGAGGACTCGAGTGAGTTCCCAAGAGTCCACTAGGCACGACGCCACTATATAAGTAGATAGTATTTCCTTAGATAGGAGCTTCGTGCTCAACTCAATACAGTATTTGTTATATACTAGTAACGTGTTACTTGAAGCCTTTGTGTCTGATCCCCTGCCTCCTCTGATAAGTAAACCTTTACGCAAGAGAACCTCTGTGTCTTCTATCGTTTAGAAGTCAGCGTTACATCGAGTAGTATTCAGAAGCGGCTGAAAAGCTTCTTCCCAATTATCACATCTTGTGCTCCGAGGTCCAGGAGTACAAAGGGGCAGTTATATATTCAGCGTCCTTCGACTGTTAAGTGTAACCGAATATACTCCGATATGTGGCCTTGGATTTTGCGCTGAAATCCACGTATGGGTACAGAGTAGGGTAGTTTCCATATAGGGCTCTGAAGTGCTTTCGACAGTCGTATTGCAAAAGGCTTGTTAATGACGAGGTAGCCGTTTGCTCCTGTGTCTGCTAGGGACTTAGTTTGCACCCCGAGTCCATTCATACTCAGGGTCGTGTCGACTAAGAACTGGGTGCCTCCCAGGAGTTCTCGTAAGTCTAGTCCTCGCAGGTCACATTTGCGTAGACCTAGGAAGGAGCCTTCTCCTAGGCCTCGTCATTTTCCTCGAGGGATGCATCCGATTGAAGTTCCACAGCTTCTTCCCATTGTTCTTCTGCCTCGGGGTCATTACGGTCCATTTCCTTGATAGTGGCGTTAAGGGGGCATTTGTCCTGGAAATGGCCAGGCTTGCCACACTTGAAACAGTTTCCTGAGGGCGCAGGGACTGCGGTTCTCAGACGTTCCGGTATGGCTGGCTTGGGGAGGAACGCGGTTCGGGTGAACAGAGCGGATGTGGCTTGAGTCGGCTTCGACGCTGATGACGCCTTTGCCGTATCCGTGGTACGTGTGGACATCCTTGCGAGAGCGGGTAGAGGATTCAATTCGTTGTTCCGGCGCCGTTCCTGGTCGAAAGCGGTAAGTTCTCGTACCATGGTCTGGTATTCTCCCTTCCATTGGATTTTGATGATCGCGACGCAGCTGCGGAATTGAGGAGTCAACTTGTTCCACATGTACCGAAACCATTCCGACTCGGAGACTTGTCCTGTGATAGCTGCACTTTGGAAACGAGCCTTGAACTCTGGGAAGGTTTCACTAGCATGCCCTTTCTCTCCCATTTGCAGGTCGTCGAAGAGGTTCCTGGCCTGTTCCGTCTCATTGCCTGTGAGGTAGTATGAACCTAGTAGATCCATCATCTCCTCAGCACTGCGGAACCCATGCGTAGCGGACAGGTATTGGGGCTCTAGGTAGGTCTTCGCCAGGCCGGTCGTAGTTCCCCATATCAACGCTCTTCTCGAGACGTCGGTAAGGTAGTGGTCCTCATTGACTACGAGTCGATCCCGAATCGAAGCGCTCCATTGTAAGAAGGTATGTTCTACCCCATCGCTGAGAGGAAGGATTTTCTCAGAGATGGTTGATTTCTTATAGCGATTCGGAGGGTCCTCGGTGTGCATTCGTGATGACCCTGGAATCGAGGGAGAACGAGTGTTCTGAAGAGGCGGCAATTGAACTGTCTCGGGGGTGTTTCGTGTACGAGGCGTTCGTTGCTCCGTAACTTCTACTGTGGGTATGGGGGCGTCCACCGGCGGTGTGGACGGGATTCTGGTCTGGGATGCCGACAGGATAACTAGTAGATCCTTGACCTCCTGTATCTGTGCTTCGAGGTGGGCCATTCGACTCGGGATGTCTTCGGATGGCACAGACGTCGTAGCTGCAGCGGTGGTTTGTCTGGTAGTCATTCTGGGCAGTTGACCGTCATTGTCTTGGGGTATGTTTGATGTCGGCTTTTTCGACATATTGCCTCGGGTGTGTATCGGTACCGATACGAAAGAGCTTGACTTCCGGTAGCTCGTAGCTATCAACGCTCTTGTCCACAATTTCCTCTGTGCTATGAGGGGGTTCTTAAGGATCTCGTATCCTATTTGGCGCCAACGCGTCGGCGACTTTACCAGCTTGTTCTGAAGAATCAAACCCTGATCCACTGGCTGTCCGTGAGATCTCTGGAATCATGGCTATTTGAAGTCGTCAGGTCTCTCCTCCGAAACATCACCGAGTCACAGTCGATGGTGTAACGGTAGTTCTCCTGAGTCGTTCCGGTGTGGGATATTATTTAAGTACGGCCGTCCCCGGCAGGCGTGATCTTTTTTGTATAATGTAATGACACAGGGCACCCAGCTCACAGTAATAGCATATGAGAGTGCGAGTCGGAGGCTAAACGGATGCTATCCTATAGGTCTACTATGAAGGATACAAAAAAGATGAAGAGAGGAACCCCCGTTGAGTCAATTTCCTTAAGTACCCGAAACGGGTCCGACTCGGATAACCTACCCTAATGCTCCCCACGTGACCGTAACCTGCCCGACTCCGATGCTTTCCATCACTGAGGGCTTTGGCATCCTTACAGACGTGTAATGAATCATAGAGGGTTGTAGCAATTGTTGAGTAGTATTGCTCTTGTTGTTGGTGTGACAAGCCAAAATATGTATAGTGACTTGTAGGTTTGAGGAGGAGATTTCTAAGTTTGCTCTTGAGTTTGATAGCAAACTGAGTGCAACGAATGTCAGTATGACATTGGAGAAGGTTGTGAATTTCAGTATTCCCTGCCTTTTTAACAGTTTGGTGCCATATATATGCAATAGAGTCAGCTGAGATTTCAAGCTTCTTTTCAATCTCTCCATATGATGCGTTCATGTATACACGCAAGGTAATAATTGCAGCACGTAGTGGTATTGAGATTTCAGCCATTGTTGAGCATTACAGTCAAACCCCTGTTATAACGATGTATTCTGTCCACCATTTCACTATCGTTATAACCAGTATATCGCTGTAACCAAAATATAATATATTATGTAATCCATGTATCTAATGTCCCCTGAACTAATGATGCCTGCTGAATACCCTCAATTGCTGATTCCAACCACTCAAGTGTCCGTAAATAATCAGAAGAAAGAGATTCTTGGCTTTCAGCAAATCCAATCAATATATGAAGAGCTTGTTTAGCATCAGCCATTGAGTACATAGGCTGTGGAAGCTGATCATCATCTTCTTCATCACTTTGAGTAGTCGGTAAACCTAAATGCTCTTGTAGCACTTCTTGTAAAACCTCATCTTCTCCTACATTCTGCTCATCCTCTCCATTGTCATCTTCGTCAACAGGGTTAAGAAAATTTGCAACTGACATAACGTCTTGTATATTTCCTGCTTCCATAACCTTTTGATATAGCTCTGTAACTCCATGAGGCATAATTGGAGTAGGAAGTGAAATAGGTGAAGAGACAAGTGTTGATTTGCGAAAGCAATTGTAGATTGTAGTATTTGTAATTTCGTTATTCCAGCTTCGTAAGATCCAACGGATTGCAAGGTGTAGATTCATTGACGACAGAGGATCTACATTTGAGTCGAAGGATTGAAGATATATTGTAGCCAATGTCACCGGTAGTAAGCTTTGCAATTCTGAATAATCCCTTGATCAAGAGGCTGGTAGCGACTTGTACTATTAGCAGGTAGCCAACATATTCGAATATTTGATGGAGGAGGACAAAGCTCAATTGCAGTATAATGGGCAGAGAAGTTGTCCATTGTAAGAAGAACTTGTCGTGTTGTGCCAATATGCTGATAAAAAGCTTGAAGCCACTCTGTCATAATCGTTGTATTCATCCAAGCTTTCTTATTCCACCGCCATTGCCCTCCCATTGTATGAACTGATACAAATCGCAAAGCGCGTGGTGTTTTAGCTTTGCCAATGAACCAGACTGGAAATCGATCTGTGCCAGTTGCATTGACACAAAAGACAAGAGAGATCCGATGTTGTGATGAGAGGCCTCGAGAGAGCATCATCCTCCAATAAAGGCCACTCTCGTCCATGTTGTAGATATCCTCCTCTTGATATTCCCCTGCCACAGTTTGTAAGGCTCTCATTTCCTCTTCTGTAGAAGCTGGGATAGATAAGGCTTCTCCGTGTCGAACTTTTAATGATATCTTAAAGCGCTTCTTAAATCCCTCAAGCCATCCAATGCTGAACTCTGGGACTGGCTTGCCAGAGTGTTGTGGAAACTGGCGCCAGATATCTCTTGCCTTTGTTTGCAGAAGCTCTCCAGTTGTAAATCCCCCTCTTGCTTCAATACGCTGCTGCCATGCAAACAGAACCTTCTCTAAGTCAGCCAGAAGCCTTCTTGAAGTCGCACGCCTTGTGGTGTATTATTCTCGTCGAGGTGGGAGAAGCGTAGACTTAAGGATTCAGAAACAGTTGACTGGCTAAGTTTGTGATTGTATTCGTGGAGGAACCATTCGATGCATTGCTTCTGTGTAGGCTTTGGGTGCTGTCGATGTGCCCAGCGACGAAGGGCGCGCCTTTGTTCTAATGTAATACTGTGCCTCTGGCTCATGATCCTGAGAATACGTCAGACTGGATATAACGATAATCGGATGGAACTGTAACGATTATCGTAGTATCGTAAGTTGTGTGGAAATAGAATTGGTTCCGAAAAATATATCGCTATATCAAAAATATCCTTGTATCCAGGATCGTTATAACAGGGGTTTGACTGTACTACATTTTCTACGCGTGTACTCGGGTACAAGTACATGGTGCTTGGTAGATTCCTACATTGGCCGTTGTGCACCGTGGGAAACACAAAAAGTTATTGGAAATGTTAATAATAGAGTTTAGAGTATATACCATCGGAATTAATATGTAAACTTACAATTTTGCCCTGTATAATCGAAATTTACCAACTCCTCTGTCCAATCCGCTAGCGGCCACCGTACTAGCAGCTCTCCAAACCTGTCACTTTCGTGGGGTCGCCTATCTGGACAACTCATCCCACTCCCGCCACACCACAGCAGGAGCAAGTCATTCCTCCCTCGCGACCTCGATTCGCCGACATCCAAAATGCCGTACCTCCCCACAGCCCAGGAGTGGCTCACTCAATCCGCTCTCCTCCTCCAGGCGCGTCCCACAACCGTACGTCCCTCCTCGCGATGCCTATAGCCGTCTCGCACAACCCCGCTGCTACCTCCCTTATGCAAGCCTCAAATTGACCACTTCACACAGTCCCGCATAACGACAAAATACACCGTCAAACCCTCCACGCGCCGCACAACCGCTGAAACCGCCGCCCCTGCCCCCGTGGCTTTCCTGACACTCAAAACTTACGACCCGGCGTCAGGCACAACCCTCAAATACCGCACCGACAAAGCCGCAGAGGTTGGACGTCTCGTGCTCTCCCTATCCCGGCTTGGACGCGAGATGGCGGGCTTGCCGGAGCTGAAGGAGGAGGATATTAAGATGGAGGGGGCGGGGGATGCGGTTGCTGCAGCTGCGGCGCCAGTGCCTGAGAAGGCTGGGGCGCAGCCGGGTGGAGCGAAGAAGGGGAAGAAGAAGGGGAGGAAGTGAGGGGTGGAGCTGGATGGGGTGGGAGATGGTGGGTGGGAGGCATTATAGGCGTCTTGGGCATACTGTTAAGCGATGTTTGAAAAGTTGGGCTGTGGAAGATGGTAGCCATGGTGGATTATAATATGGCAGGCGTGGGATGGGATTGGAGTTCATCATGGGTCAGATACCTGAAGCTAGATATCTAAAGGCCTAGATCTCTCAACGTGCTTCATGAGATGTGCCCTCAAAGGATACGAAAATCCGATCACTATCCAAACGCTCTATGTGCGACAGGCTGCAGCCGCAAACGAGGGCCATGGCATCGAAGCCTTTAACCAAGAATCCCGCAATTGGTTTAACGAGCTCGAGAAATCCTATCACAATAGGGAAATTGAATATCAGAATGCAACTAGCGATTCAATTAGGTCGAAGCATGCAAAGCAATTAGAATCACGGATTTCGAACCACCTCGGCTGTCGGGAATGATGCCCACTCTCAGGATCACTACTGTTACCGCCACTCCTTTGTCGCCGTCGTAATGACTTCCTGTCACCCCACTTCCTTTCTCACCACCGCTGCCAATACCACCATCACCACCACTCCCCTGTCACCGTCATACAATACGCACGAGCACGTAGGTGGAATCTTGGTCCTAACAGTCCGTAGACGCTAGGTAAGCTAAAGACAGCCAGCAACCAGCACCCACCCCATTGGCACCTTCTGCATTGGTAGCCTTTGTCGCCATATGCTGGACGTAACTGTGTTCATCATCTTCTGTTGCATACTCGGTGCTATTGCACGGATGTGATGTCTGTGGCATGTTTGTTGACGAGGGTTTGTAGTAGAAGTGGGAAAGGGTGGACGTGAGAAGATGGAGATGGCCATAGAGATTGAGAGACGGAAATCGAGGGAGAGTAACTAGAATCAATGCTCCCGCTAAATTCGAGAAGGACCCGCTTATATCAGCATGTGTAGTCGCTGATAGTATAGGACCAGGGAAGACTATACAGACCGTTAGCTATTAGGAAGTTGAAAGTTAACACCATGCTCACAATATGACAACATAATAAAGACGTTCATACAGAGACTATATCGACGCAGGATGCTTGTAGAGAAGTCTCCTGCAAAGACTCTCTTACTCATTGCCCTAGGTAAGGTTCTCTCTCAGTGGATTGCTGATATGGAGTAGCTAAGTGAAGATTTCATCCACATCATGTACTATGGTCCGAAAAACTCGAGTATCCTCGTGAATACTAGGATTGAAGTATCAATCAAAGCTAACTGGAATATGTTACAGAGAACATCTGACTGACCCCTTCGACCTCGATACCATTATAGCAAATATATGACTATTCATACCACGGCCAAGCAATTTATATGAGAAGCAACCACGAAAGTAGTTTTGATATAACTTCTTCAACTACTTAATCCTATCTTATTGTTTCATACCACATTTCGTGGCATTGCCGTACCCCTTTCCAATCCTATCCACATGTTACAAACAACTCCCAAAACTCCATATTGAGAAGAGTGATCTCCCGATGATTAACGGCCGAGCCCGCTAGCATTCTATGCCAGGTATATGAAAGAAAAAATGTGTGCAAGACACCCACCCACCACAACAGAGCTACCCATGCCAAGTTGTACAACCTTTCAGGTTAATTTAAAGCAAAGCAACGCCGATGGAACCATTCGCATAAATACATAATAAAAGACGAACCAAAGAATGTGGAGCATCTAGAAGTCTTCATCGAAGTTGAAGTCTCCACCATTCTCTGCTTTCGACTCGATCTGTGCAGCGGTATCCTCGTGCTTCTTGGTGGTCGATGCCATGACACCAGTCTTTTGGTAGTCGGCGACACGCTTCTCAAAGAAGTTGGTCTTTCCTGCCAGGGAGATGTTCTCCATGAAGTCGAATGGGTTGGTCGCCTTGTAGTACTTCTCGTTACCGAGGGAGAGTAGCAGCCTGTCGGCGACGAACTCAATGTATTGCTTCATCAAGTTGGCGTTCATGCCGAGCAGCGCACAGGGAAGTGCCTCAGTCAAGAACTCTTGCTCGATGGAGACAGCCTCGGTAATGACGTCTTGGACGGCCTGCTTGCTTGGGCGGTGTCTAAGGTGGGAGAAGAGGAGGCAGGCGAAGTCAGTGTGGAGACCCTCGTCACGGGAGATGAGCTCGTTCGAGAAGGTCAGGCCGGCCATGAGGCCACGCTTCTTGAGCCAGAAAATGGAGGCGAAGGAGCCGGAGAAGAAGATACCCTCAACGGCGGCGAAGGCAACGAGGCGCTGAGCGAAGGTGGAATCCTTGTCTTGGATCCACCTAACTGCCCAGTCGGCCTTCTTCTTAATGCAAGGAATGGTCTCGATGGCATTGAAGAGGTATGTGCGTTGAGCTTGTTCCTTGATGTATGTGTCGATGAGGAGGGAGTATGTCTCGGCGTGAATGTTCTCTATCATGATTTGGAAACCGTAGAAGCAGCGGGCTTCTGGGATTTGGACCTCGCTGCTGAAGCGCTCGAGGAGATTCTCGTTGACAATTCCGTCTGACGCGGCGAAGAAAGCGAGAACGTGGGAAATGAAGTAACGCTCATCGTCATTGAGGCGGTTGTTCCAGTCGTGAAGGTCCTTGGAGAGATCAATCTCCTCTGCCGTCCAGAAAGACGCTTCTGCCTTCTTGTACATCTGCCAGATCTATTGTAAATTGTCAGTATAAAATCCACTTTACGCGTTACGCGTCCGTGCTGACGCGCGATGACGCGACGTGGTCACATACCTCGTGGTACTTGATTGGGAACAGGACGAATCTGTTCGGGTTTGACTGAAGCAGTGGCTCGTCGGCTTCCTCTGGTTTAAGTGTAGGTGCGATCAAGCTCAAATCGGGCTCTGCCACGATTGGCTTCTTGGTCTCGACGACGGCATCGACGGGTGCTTGGGTGTCGAATGGGAGGTTCTCCTTTCCAACAGCAGCGAAGTCAAGCTTCTTAGCTGGAGAGTCGTTCATCTTCAAGTTCTCGAGGGAAGACGCTGTCTGTATCATTCATTAGGAGCTATTCCCACGACGACAGCGACGGTGGCAAGAGATTACATACCTTCTTCGACGGCGTGATTTGGGTTGCCATTGTATTGTTGTCTGAGGATAGTGAGATCAATTCAGTTAATGTAGATGTTCTGGTAGTTTTGGCACAGAGTGAGAGAGAGTAAGAGGAATTGGCTGTGTTGATGGTGACGTGAAGAATAAGGTGGTGGAGGGGAAGAGTGCGTCCTTTGTAGTCCCCGTCTGCACCCTAGTTTGTTTCTTGGAAGCGCGTTCTTCCTCACGTGACGCGACTTTACGCGTTTTGCACTCTAAAGGGAAGAGGCTGGGATTCGCACTGACACTTTTACAACACAGCCTAACAGCAGTAAGACATCAAAACCCCACCTGTACACCTCCAGATCCGTATTTCCGGCCTCTGTTGGATCGAGCTGAAAGAATTTCCTGAAACTGCCCCATGTTTGTCGCATTTGTGTGGACAGAGACCCCTCACGCTAGATGATCTGATAAGATTAACCCTGGCAACGCGCAGGCAACGCGCAGGCAGCTGTCCAAGGAAACAGTCACCCATATCCACAGATGGATCTTTTATCCACAGCCATGCACGCGCGTTTGTGCCGGCTTAAGTCATAACACGTCTTAGTAAACTTAGTAAAGCTCAGCAATCAGCTTGGCAATGGAGCTTCGTGACTCATTTACGTACGGGGCTTTTGGATGCCTAGCCAACGAGTTCGTTTATAAACATGGGAGCATATATTTCACCCATTACCGTGTTAAGATTGAAGCGGGGTCAAAGTCAATGCTGACATTTAATGCTGTTCTATTCAATTGTATAATTTTACCGTGGTATCTAGCTCCGAGTCTTTACAAAAGTTATAAATTAATTAAAGCACCTCATTACAAACACCTACCGAGTTCGAACTGGTTTCTGACGCGTGCTTGGTTCTCTGGCAGGACGGGACGGCAAGTTGGAGAGTGGCGTATCGCCATGCCGTTGTTCGGGCGCCGCTCTCGACGTCCGGCTGCTTGCTTTTCTTTCCAAAGCCGAACCACCCGCCGCTACTCTGGGTTGTTGTTGAGGCCGTATTAGTTGTGCCCGAAGGTTTTTGACGCTGAGTTCCCGATGGAGCTGTTTTTCGAGGCTGTTGTGATTTCGTTTGCATACACTGGAGGTGGACGCTGGCCACCAGGCGGTCGAATTCGTCCGGATCGCTAGGGTCGACGGTGGGCAACGCGGCGCCCTGGGATTTGAGCCTGGCCTGTCCCTTAGCACGAAGATGT